CTCCCAGGGACCAAGACACTAGTGGCTGTTAATCAAAGAGACTTTGACATAACGAAAGTGGCTATTGCATGTTATCAGTCAGGTGGTATAAATCAAAGGTATGCCAACAAATGTCTCTCAAAAATAGCTCCTTCCTAGAGCAGCTGAGGAGTTCTGGTGTGGCGCTGTGGGTTAATTCGCTGAACTGTAAAGTCAGCTTGAGCCGCAAGGCCGGTGGTTCAAGCTCACCAGCTGCTCCTCGGAAACCCTATACAGGGTCACTATGCGTTGTAACCGACTCAATGGCACTTCACCACAACAACAAGAGCAGCTGAGGACTCTGGACTCATGGAAAGAGAAGGACTGGGTGCTGGCGACCAGGAGGCAGGCTTGTAAAATGTGACCTTTGGTTGTTTAAAATATTTTATATTCCTGAGTGTTTCTGTGTACATCCCATCTCCCCCGCAAAAAAAAACAAAACAAAAAAACTGGTTGGAAGCAAATACTGTTGAATGATGATGCACAGAACAGATAGTAATCATGGCAATGAAACGATTGTGTAAAGCCGATGTTTCCCTATGTAAACTATCACTGAATTCACAGTAAAAACTTTTAAAAAAAAGGACTGGAGGCTGAACCTTAGAAACTCTGTAGTCTGAGGATGCTCTTTTCCAAAGACAAGGTTAGAATTGAAATCCTTATCAGTTGGCAGGATAAGAAGGATAGAAGCGTGGGTCTGGAACTCAAGTACAGTATCTTGCTGGGTGGGGTTGGGAACTCTGAAAGGAGAGGTCATGATAAATTCAGGGAGCTTCACAACTATGCCAGATGTTGGCCCTCAGGAGATTAAAACAGTCCCTCAAACAATAAAAGTGGGCGAGGCTATTCTGGATTCCAGGATCTGCAGGTAGATAGATCATGAAGATATCCCTCTCACGGAATAGGCATGATTTCTGGTGGGCTTGGAAGAGAGCAGAAATTGTCCAATAGTAAAATATGGACGTTGGGGGACGTCCATTCTCCATGTAAATCAATGTGGATGCTTTCTATGAAGTGTCTTTGTGTACTAGCTTTTCTATTCCTATGGCTCAGCAATAAAGGGCTGCGCGTATTGCCTTAGGCTTGTCACAGACCCACTAACTTGAACAATTTCCTTATTGGTCTTCTCTAGATAAAAACAATCATACATACACTCTATGGCGTGCCAACTCTGGATATGGTTCTTTGTTACAAGCTTTATCTGCATGATCTCATCTAGCATCACAATCAACTTAGGAGGCGTTCATTGGCCTGTTCACACCCATTGTTTACAGTTGGTATACAACCTGATTGGGCTGGCTCCTGTTTTGATTTATCAGTGCCTGTGCCATATTAGTTGTTCAAGATGTTGACTATCCTCCTTACTGTAGGCATTCTATGTGTCCCTGTTTTACAGATGAGAAAATCAAGGCCAAGATGTTTGGGAACTTTTGCAGCGTCCTTTAGTTAGTAGCCTAGGTCTGGGAGACTCCTGGACTTTTCGCATGATCCATACCATCTCTTATTCCTGAGCATGACAAAAGGTGGAGGCCAAGCATTTTGACACTTGCCTAGTAATGATGATTTGTAGCTTTTGTCTGGCTTCTCAACTTGTTTCCATCCATTTGAACTAGAATCCTTGGTCTGGGCCTTTGGAAGCAGGTGGTGGTTGGTGGTTGAGTGCTGCCTAGTCAATTCTGACTCAAAGAAACCCCATAGGGTTTTCCTGTCTGCAATCTTTATGGGAGCAGATCACCAAGTCTGTCTCCCACAGAGCTGTTGGGTGGGTGTGAACCTCTATCCTTTCAGTTAGCAGCAGAATCGAGCCACTAGACTCCATCCCATTTAGGGAGACCCGGCTAAGTAAGCAGAATGGTGAGCTATTTTACCAGGCCTTACTCTATTTGACCTTCAGGGACCAAATGAGGCATGTGGCCTGAGACCCATAAGGAGATGCGATGGGTTATTGAGCAGCAATGTACCAAGCTACACCAAGATGAGCATAGAAGGGCATTCTAAGTAGGGAGGAGGTGAAGAAATGAAAAGCCCAGCAACTCTTGGTGTGAGATATCAGAGATCTTGAGCCATTTGCTTCACAGCTCTGGAACAGTGGTAAGTAATTGGTTACCATGGAATGTATCATCTGCCACAGATTTGCAATTAGATAGTAGTATTGCTGGTGCATTGGGGTTTTTCGTTTCGTTTCGGTTTTTTTTAAGTGCCTTTTATAAAAACCGATCTTCCTTATGGTCTTTATCTGGGAATACGTGGCTGTGAAGGTCTCTGCTGATGGATACCTATCACCATCATCCCAGGCTCCTGGCCGATGAAGAAGCAGACCAGAAACTTGGGGGTCATTTGTTCATCAATTAGATTTCACTTGTTGTTCTCAATTAAGTTTTCTTGTATAACTTCTCCATCATAAAGAACAAGCCAGTCTATATTTCAAATACAGTTATTTCCCTGGACAGAGTGATATTCAGCTGCCTTTCAACATGGTCATTATTGTTTTGGCCAAGCTCTCATTTACTCATCAGAATGCTGGGCTCCAGGCTCTCTGAACTGCCAAGAAATGACTAGAGATCTGTGTACTTTTAATGGATTTGGCACTGAAATGAAAGGCAAAGCTATTAGAGAATTAAAGAATACTGGAACTGGAGGGGTTTTAAAAACCACCTTGCCAGACCCCTTCTTTTTATACAGCTCACTGATAGAGTTGAACCTGATGCCATATGTTTTCCATACATAAAAAAAGACATGGGGTGGGGGAACTCTTTCTACTGTGGATTTCTGTGGAATGGTCTAACAACAACTCCACAATACTGTAAGTTTCATGAAAGCAGGAACTTTTATTTGTTGTTGTTAAGTGCCATCGGGTCGGTTGTGACCCATAGCGACCCTATACAGGATTTCCAAGGAGCTTGAACCACCTACTTTATGGTTCAAACCAACCTTGCAGCCCAGCACATTAACACACAGCACAGGACACGCCTCCTTTATCTGCTGTATTCACTACTTTCTCTCTAGTAGGAGTCCTGGAGGCACTATAGGATAAGTACTGGACTGCTAACTACAAGGTTGGTGGTTCAAACCCGCCAGTCGCTCGCTACCTGGGAGAAAAATGAGACTTTCTGTTTCCATAATGATTCACCTCAGAAACCCTTTATAGGGTTGCTGCTATGAGTCAGAATTGACTCGGTGACAGGGATTTTTTTTTTTTTTTTATCCATAATGGAGTCCTGGTGTGGTGCAGTAGGATAAGCACTGGACTGCTAACCACTAGGTTGGAACGCCCCCAGCTGCTCATCGGAAACCTTATACAGAGTCACTGTGAATCAGAACCAATTCAATGACACTTAACAACAACAACAGTACCTGTAACAATGCCTGGCATAGGATAGCTAATAAATGCTTTTTGAATGCAAAACATCACAATTTAAAAGATGAAGAAGATTCCATTTCCGAATCTTTCCAAAATGTGTGTGCGCATATATGTGTTAAATAGATTCTTAAAAATTGGCTTATTGTTTCTAATCAGTATGCCTTTCCTTTTTTATCTTTTCCCCATGGCCTTTGGTCCGCCTCTGATGATCATCTCTGAACATCCCACCTCTGGCAATCTGCACCTACAGGTAAGGCAATGTGCCCCCCAAAATTTACTCAGACCATTCACTGGGAAGACCTTGATGGGAAGTTATGAAGTTTTACATCAAAATAAAAAATAATCTCAAGAGACATTAGTTCTCCTCATTATAGTTAAAGTTGATACAGTCCCCATCTGAAATTAATTATGCACATGTTTATGTTATGTTCTGAGAAGTGCTCCATATTTGACTTCAGAATTTTATGGTACTAAGATTCAATATATCTGTCTGTGTCCTTTTTTTTTTTTTTTTTTCTTTTAATCTTTTGTTTCGTTTCATTCATAGTTGTGTTCTTTGGGGTGCATGAGGACTCGTAGGTCACAGGGTAGGTCAGTGCACTCTAGATTCCCTTCTTTCTTGTGGCCGAAAAGGATGAAGTGCACATTGGGCTCCAGATGGTAAGTCCACTAGTGGGCTGTACTAACGATCTGGTATCAAGGCTCACCAAGTACATCACATTGGTTTCTATTAACACTTGCTTCCCCCTCCCAGCCCCCATGCCACCAGAAACTGGGGATATAACAGATCCTTATATTGCTTCCCAAATGATGATGCAAGGGCTGGCTGTGTGATTCACACACTCTCTTAACTCATATGTAAAGTCTCCAGATACATTGCCATAAAGATACATTTCTCCCAAGAAAATGGACAGGCCCTATAACCCTCTTTGAGTGCAAAAGTGTTACTCTATTATAATATCCCTTGTTCTGGCTTGATATAAAACAGAAAGCCAACTGATCCCATGCGAATCAGTTCAAGCTAACAAGTGACCCTTGGAATTTCACAGTCCCTTGTTAATATCAGAAACTCGTGTAGCACAATGAGTGTTTTGTGACTCTGAAGACATATATTATGAAAACAACTGAGCAAGGTGTTTGAATAGAGAGACATAGCTCACTTGAGTCCAGGTGGAAGAAAAGGAAGCTGTGCGTGCTTTGAATTTTCATGGTTTTGAAGAACTTCAGCAAAGTCTTCATTGTTCTTATTTGTTTCCTTTTGTGATTTATGTTTCATGCAGTCCTGCTAATCTGAACAATCCCTGTGAATTCCTCCTAATTCCTTCCAATCAGGCATTTCCATATCAGTGTTTGGTTTCTTTCAGGTTTTGGTTTACTTGGCTTAGGTTTGTGTTGAGATTGTCATTGTTGTTTGTGAGTGGTAAATCTCTCATTCTCAGCCTAGAACCAGGCAGAAGCCTGCTGTGGGGGCTGCCCTGCCCCTTTCTGCCCTCCACCTCAAAGTCCCCCAAACTACTTGAGGGAAACAGATGGGGAGCAAAGTAAAATGGAACACTTTTATGATTTTAACCTCTCTCTTCTAAGCTCTTGCTAGCAACTGGTTTTACTGTTCCTTTAACAGGTGGAGGATTTTTCAGATTCTGGATGTGGCACGGTAAGTGGCTATGCATTTTCAGTTTAACTGAACTCCAATCTCCTAGGGTAGGAATGCCCTGCAGTTACTTGTCAGTTTCATTTCAATGCAATGAATAGTAGAAATTTTTGGTTAAGACAAATTTTTTCCAGAAAGTGCTGGAAGCCACCCAGACTTATAGTCTCAGGCTTGAAAGTTGACCGAGTTCAGGGCCAAGCACCCCTGCCAGCTGGGCCATGGGTCATTTACTCCTGTTTTCTCTTTCTGCTGAAATGGGATGATGCAATCGTGTGTAATCTTAAGAAAATCCTCGAGTGTTTTTCACAGAGCTTGAGGAACTCCAGCCTGCTGCTTTTCTGCCTGGTGGTTTAGAGACTAACTCGGTCAGCGTTTCTTTGAAGGGAAATCAATTATTTGAAAATATCAGGGTTTCAAATTATGTTAATATGTAGGCTTGCAAAATAGACGAATCCCAAAGGCCAGGGACCTTTAGGCTAGGCAGCCTGCAGCAGGGCGAATCTAATCATGCACAAGAAAGTTAGTAACTGGGGGCTCGAGGGAGAACTCTCCAAGATGGTGCCCTTGCAGGCTATGATGATTTTTGCCGTAAGTGCTGAAGAGGCTATTGAAAATCACAAGCCACTCGGTCAATGTATGCTCTAGTTGCATGAAAATCGCCTTGGCACATTGTTTTCTAAGGTCATAATGCTCAACAGTATTGAATTTGGCCTATTTTAGGCTTCTTGGCTCCAAAAGTATTTACTAGTGGCTCTTCTTAATTTTCTTACCCACTGACATCTTCTCCTATGCTCCCAGGTCAAATGACTTAATGAGATTAAAGGCTGTAGTGTTGGCATTCCCCCCACAAAGGCGGATTCCCATCAAAACAGAATAGATGGGTCATCTTTTAGATGCTCGGTTGGTTTTCAGTAGGTGAGCTTTCTATTCTCATTAGAGCCCTTGAGGATTTATTTGGCAGGTGAGAAGAGTAGGTTCCATGTTTAATTTCACAGCCAGATTAGAATTCTTTGAGATAAATGGTGCAGACATACAAAAACACTGAATCACCCAATCTTAGTATTGAGAGAGGACATAGGTGGCGTGAGACACGATGGCAAGAGTACTAGCTAGGTTTTCTTACTAAGTACCAGGGTAACTCTGACCAAGTCCTGTTTCTACCATTGGCCCCGATTTCCTCATCTGTAAGATACAATGGAGCTTTGGTAGCGTAGTGGTTACGAATTGGGCTGTGAACCGCAAGGTCAGCAGTTCGAAACTACCAGCCGCTCCGCGGGAGAAAAATGAGGTGATCTGCTCCCGTAAAGATATACAGCCTCGAAAACCCTGTGCAGGGTCGCTATGGGTCGAAACCGACTCGACGGCACTTAACAACAACAAAGATAAAATGGAGACTTGGTGTGATGTTGTTAAGAAAAGCATTGAACTGCTAACCACAAGGTCTTAGTGAGAAGGGCACAAAGACATTCCGATAGTACAGGTGAGAAAGAAACAGCTCTGGTAAATGTTGATGGAGCCATTTCCAAATTCTGGTGCACTGACTGATGTGTGAAAACTGTTTGCAAGGCTAGAAAATTGTGTAGCCACAATTCATTTGGTAATCCCCATTATACATACAGTTTCATAAATATACAAGATTATGATTATCTCTGCCTCCTAAGTAACTATTTGCATAAGTGTTTTTTATTATTTAGCTATCTGAATGTATCTTTGTGATCCAGAGAAAGAAGGGGACAATCAGTGGAAGCCATCCCAAATGCTTAGTATTGTTGCTACACATATGCGCAATTAACAAAGATGCTAATCGTTTCAGACCAGAACTTCATTTGTTTGTCTATAGACAGCAAGAATTGCTCAAGTGTCTGTTGCCCTCTCTCTCTCTTTCCTATAGCTAGCTGGCTCATCATGTCTACAGTTGATTGTGTAAGCAATTTATTTGGCTGGATTCGCAGTGTGTAATTTTGTGATGCCGTTTCCAAGCTTCTGTTTAAGCTAACAACTAATGCCTTGAACGGCCAACGACTGCTTTTACAGTATTAGAACAGTTGGCCTCTCTATATTAAAGGCATAAGACAAGTTTGAGAGGCCCACCAGTTCTGCCGCTGCACTGACATTCTATTTCATATGAGAATGCTAGAAAGTTGCGGTTGGAGGGAGCCTTTGCGAGCACCCTGTCAAATTCCCTCATTCTCCAGATGAATTTGATTGTCATGTAATGTGAATGTCTGTAACAACCACCAAATCAATGAAGCCACACTTCTTTTTATAACTTTCAAACCATTGGGAACTACTACAGTAAATACAATTGAATTTGAGCTGCTTGATGTAGAATCCTATAGTTTCAGTGAATTTTCCAAAGAGCTGATTCAGAATTTTTTAAAGATGCCTTCATGAGGTTTACCAGAACACAGCCATGCTGTTGATGGTATATGTGCGAAAGGAGATTTTCTAGGCAAAGCACCTCAACCAAGATCTCTTCCTTTCATTCGTGGATTGCTTAACTAGTGTTAACATAGTAGAAATAGCGTACAATGACTAAGAAGTCTAATTCTGGTGCTACTATTTTCTAGCTCTGTGACCTTGGGTGATTAATTTAACTTCTGTGCGCCAGAGTTCCCTCATATGTCAAACACTGTATTAGCTTCAGAGAGTCATTGCAAGAATTAAAATGAGATGATGCATACAATGAATATTCAATAAGTGGGAGTCGCCAGTACCATCACTGTCTAACACACCTAGTATCAGCTTCTTTCCATGTTAGTATTTAATCTTATGGTGGTTTGAGTACATGCATATGTACACATCGGTATGTAGGCAGAGGTCACAGGAATGTTATCAGAATGACTGCTTTCCCAAAGGTGGTTGTTGTTGTTGTCAGGTGCCATCGAGTCGGAACCGACTCATAGCGACCCCATGCACAGCAGAGCGAAACAATGTCCGATCCTGGGCCAACCTCACTACCGCTGCCACACTTGAGTCCATCAATGATGCCACCTGGCCGATCCATCTAGTTAGGGGTCTTCCTCTTTTTCTCTGACACTCCACCCTACCCAGCATGACATCCTTCTCCAGAGACTGTTTCCTCCGGACAATATGTCCAAAAGTCCAATATGTCCAATATGTCCCAAAGGTTACCTGTGACCAAAATATACACAAATTGAACCTTTGAGTTATGCAGCCCGTCACACCCTCTGTTTCTGAGTTGTTCCTCCCCACTAATGCAAAGTCACTGGCCACTAAAGTTCCTGTGTGGCCTTTCCAGTTGCTGTTGACAGCTTGATCTCATGGACTTATAGATAGTTTTTAAAAAAGCACAACGCTCAAGGCAGGTGTTCTTTACTAGGTAAGCTAAACAATTGTTTGGTTTAATGAAGACTTTAGGAGCTATTCTTGGTTTAAAGTTAACAGATGATCTCAGAGCAATTGTTTCAGGGGTTCAGCCAACTGTCTTTGCCTCATAAAGTCTATGAGAATTTGATATTGGCTTCAGTCTTCTTGATCTCTTTGGAGGTTCTAGTACATCTTACCTGGAAGCATTTCATCTCTCACTTCTACATTACTCCTTTTTAAAGAAGTTTTCATTGTAAATTGAGTCATAGTTTACATGGGAGAACATCAGTTTTACACTCATCCTATCATATTTTGTTTCATTGCAATGATTACAATCCCCTCCATGCATCATCATCCAGCAGTATTTGCTTCTATTCCCTCTGGGTTTTTTTTGTTGTTGTTGTTGTTTGTCTGTTTGATGTACACCAAAACACTCAGGAATATGTAACCATTTAAACAACCAAAGGGCACATTCTACAAGCCTCCTGGCTACCAGCACACAGCCTTTCTCTTTCCATGAGTCTAAAGTCCTCAGCAGCTGTATCTCCATGTTATCACCTTTGACTCCATCTCTGGTGTTGCTGCTTCTCTGGATAGGGTCCCATATTCTGCTTGTAGTCTTCTCCCTTGATGGTCTTAGGGCCCTCTGTTCCTGGAATGTAAGATTAAGTACTCCCCCATTTTTGTGACAAAACCTTTACAATTGTGACAGTCGCAATTAGTCATGATAACAGTTACTCACTAGTGAATTATAAGAATCTTATCCCCATCTCTTTTCACCAGACCCATCTACACAAGATGAAAACTATTCAGTGGGGATTCTACCTCCTCTCTCTGCGCCCCCGCACACTCTGAAACTAACTCCCTCTTGAAAACTTACAAGCTAGTCACTCCGTGCCTTTATACCCCCCCCCCTTTTATGTAGCCAGTATCTGAGTTGCCCATCCTATCAACCCTGCGTACAGAGGGTGATAGAGTTGATCCTTGTTGTGAAGACTCTTTCCCTCTCTGTTGGTATTTTGAGCTACTACATCCATAAGAAGGAGCTCTGGTAGCTTAGTGGTTACAAATTGGGCTGCAAACCTCAAGGTCAGCGATTTGAAACTACCAGCTGTTCCGTGGAAGAAAGATGAGGCTTTCTGCTCCTGTAAAGATTTCCAGGCTCAGAAACCCTGTACAGGGTTGCTATGAGTCGGAACTGACTCCATGGCACATAACGAACCAACCAACCAACCAACATCCATAAGTATAAGTCAAGTTCATCAAATTGTAACAATTTACACTTGTTTCCTATATCAATTTATTTTTTTATCTTCCGCTAGTCGAGTTCTGATCACCAAGCCATCAAGCTGGGTCAAATGTGTACTATCTGCAAGTTTGGGCGCTCTTGTGCATCTCCCCTCACTTCGTATCAGCTGGATGCTTCACTGGCAGCTCTGCCACATTACTCCTTATTTAGCTCGGTTCACCTCGGATCTTCGCAGTGCTTCCTAGGTCTCTTTTGTTGGCATTTCGTTGTATACACACACATACTCCAATTTACCCTGTTTCCCTTTCCTTCACCTCTTTAAATGGAAGAATTCCCAAGGTCCCGTCATTGATCTGCTTCTCTTCTGCTGTCTCCGCTCCCTGGGTAACTTCATCTCCTAATGCAGGTTCGCCTTCCACCTCCA